GGAGTTGGGCTTGGCCCCTTAGTTCCAGTGAAGGGAATTCCTAAGGTATTAGCATACAAAGACATTTTGGACAATTTCATGCTCCCAACTATGTGGGAACAGTTTGGGAATGGCCCCTTCCTGTTCCAACATGACTGTGCACCAGTGCACAAAACAAGGTCCATAAAATACATGGATGAGCGAGTTTGGGGTGGAGGAACTTGACTGGCCTGCACAGAGTCCTGACCTCAACCCGATAGAACACCTTTAGGGTGAATTAGAGCGGAGACTGCGAGCCAAGCCTTCTCCAACATCAGTACCTGACCTCACAAATGTGCTTCTGGAAGAATTGTCAAACATTCCCATAGACACACTCCTAAACCTTGTGGACGCCTTCCCAAAAAAGAGTTGAAGCTGTTAAAGCGGCAAAGAGTGGGCCAACTCAATATTGAACTCTACGGACTAAGACTGGGATGTCCTTAAAGTTCACGTGCGTGTAAAGGCAGGCGTCCCAATACGTGTGTGTGTGTGTGTATATGTATATGTATGTATGTATGTATGTATGTATGTATGTATGTATGTATGTATGTATGTATATATATATAATGAGCAGTATTGTATTTCCACCACATATACGGTTTTTATAAGGCCAACATCTGAGTTTTGGTAGTGTGCCATACTCTTCATTTTGTAATAGAGTGTGTGCGTGAGAGTGAGTGAGTGAGTGTGCGTGAGAGTGAGTGTACGTAAAAAATAATTTAAATGTGCATATAAGGAACGATATTGCGTCAAATAATGGGGAAGAAGTGGAAACTCTATGGCTAGAGCTAGATATGACGGATGCTAGCCGTAAACTTCTGGTGGGTATTTGCTATAAACCTCCTAATATAGGGGAAGAGGGAGAAGTCAATCTTCACTCGCAGATAGGAATAGCTGGGAGAGAGGGCAATGTCAGTCTAACATCGGTAGTTTGTAAAATGCTAGAGGGCATAATAAAGGATTATCTGGTAAAATTTGTTCAGGAAAACGGGATAGTTAATGACAATTAGCATGGGTTCAGGAAAGATTGTTCCTGCTTAACTAACTTGCTAACTTTTTAAGAGGGGGGGTGTAGAGATATGGACGGAGGTAAGCTGGTAGATGTGATATATCTGGATTTCTCAAAAGCTTTTGATATGGTACCACACAAACGCTTGCTACACAAGCTGAGAGCTATGGGCATAGATGAGGTGGTGTGTACGTGGATAGAGAACTGGCTACGGGAACGGGTCCAGAGGGTATCTGTAAATGGCACCTTTTCAGACTGGGCTAGTGTAATGAGCGGTGTGCCTCAGGGTTCTGTGCTGGGTCCCATATTGTTCAACTTATTTATTAATGACATCGGGGAGGGTGTTAACAGCGATATTTCCGTGTTTGCGGATGACACCAAAATAGGGAGGGTAATAGACACGGACTTAGACACTATAACATTACAGGAGGACCTGGATAAAATAGGGGAGTGGGCATTAATGTGGCAGATGAGGTTTAATGTCGATAAATGCAAAGTAATGCACTTTGGAATTAAAAATAAACAAATGGGTTATACAATTATGGGTATGCCGCTGGGGAAGTCAGAAATGGAGAAGGATTTGGGGGTCATTGTAGACCACAAACTGAAAGGTAGTTTGCAGTGCCAGGCTGCTGTAAACAAAGCTAGCAGGGTCTTGTCCTGTATTAAAAAGGGGATGTATTGCAGGGACAAGTCTATAATTTTGCCACTTTATAGATCATTGGTTCGACCTCATCTGGAGTACGCGGTCCAGTTCTGGTCACCAGTACTAAGAAAAGATGTCCTTGAGTTGGAAAAAGTCCAGCGGAGGGCAACCAAACTAATTAGGGGTATGGAGGACCAGAGCTACGAGACAAGGCTACTAAATTTAAACATGTTCACATTGGAGGTGAGGAGATTAAGGGGGGATATGATCTCCATGTACAAAATGTTCAATGGTGGTAGCAACATTAGCGATAAACTGTTTAAAATTAACTCCATTACAAAAACTAGAGGCCACCACCTAAAATTGGTGGAAAAAAAATTCCAGCACAAGGGGCGAAGGGGGTTCTTCACAGTAAGATCAGTTAGGGTCTGGAACTCACTGCCACAGGTGGTGATTTCAGCAAAGAATGTGGAATTGTTCAAGAAACTTTTGGACGATTTCTTAAGGGACCGTAATATACAGGGGTACAGGTACTCCTAGAATGAGATCCTAATAGGTTGGACTTGATGGACTAATGTCTTTATTCAACCTCAAATACTATGTAACTATGAAATGTCATTCACACCTAATACCCACAAAAATAAAACATTTTAAATAAAACAAAACTAATTTTTTACCGGCTTACATGTCTAACTATCAGACATTGTAAAAACCAAAAAATCAACATTAAAGTTTAATTTATTCTACAAAAAAGACCACAAAAATGTTTTTACAAGTATAAAATTATTTGTACTGGGACCCAATTTGAAGGGGACCATCAACAGACATTGTAAAATATATAAATCAACATTCCCAGAAAAAAAGCCCAAAAAATGGAGCCTATGTTCCCAGTAGTAATTTGTTTGCATTCAAGCCGAATTTTGAACAGGACCACCAACATCATTTTGAAGCTAGAAATCTATACTACAGTGAAATTTATTCCCAGAAAAAAACACTCAAATATTATAGTGAGTTGTCTGTGAAGGTTCTCATTCATCCAGGTCATGGTATGTCTGTAAAAAATAAGTCAAGGCTATATTTTAGCCTTGACTTATTTAGCTAGACTTGCTATATTTTTCTTGAAGACGTTTCATTGGTCATCCAACCAGCTTTCTCAATTCAGAATGAGAAAGCTGGTTGGATGACCAGTGAAACGTCTTCAAGAAAAATACAGCAAGTCCAGTTGCCTTGACTTATTTTTTTTACAGATATTATAGTGAATTAATTCCCAGTATTAATTATTTGGCACTCAAGCCACATTTTGAAAAAGACCACCAACAGCCACGTTTAAATGTTGAAATCACCATTATATTATCATTTATTCCCAGAAAGAGTTCACGGATCTAATTTATTGGCAATCAAACCCCAGTTAGAATAGGACCTCTAACAACCATATTTAAAACAGCATTAGAGTATTTCTTCCCAGAAACAAAACCCCAAATATTATTATTATAATTCTAATTAATTATAAATAATTAATTAATAAGTATATTTAATTATTTGTGCTCAAGCTCCAATTTGAATAAGAACACCAAAAGTAATTTTTCACTGTAGAAATAAACATTACAGCATCATTAAATTACAGAAAACACCCCAAATATTGCATTATGTGCAGAGATCTGCTTCACCAGCTTCTTCTTCTGGCTCTAGGAGCCAGAGAATGTGCACAGTGACACCAAAAGTGATGTAATGCACATCACTTCTGTGTCCAATGATCGAACTGGAAGGCTGGAAGCCTGCTGATCTCCCGATCCTCCCTATAATCAGGTGAGACCCACCACACTGGTCCTGGGTCTGCACGGGGGACAACGGAGCCCAGGAAGTTGACGGTGGCACATACAGCGCCACACCATACAAGCAATCCGGCACCTGTACAGATGCCAAATCACTTGTATTTAAACAGCAATCATCTGCTGTTTAAAACAGTACCAAGAACACGTCTGTAGCAGCAGCCGTGTTCGTTGTATAACCACTTACAGCGGATGATGTGTATTTATGTGAACCCGTTGCAAGAGGTCAAGGGGGCCCACACCTGCTAGCCTTTTATTAAAAACATCATATTTTCAATGTATTTTACTGCCAAAAAAGATTTTTAAACCTTACTTAAAGCAAAAAAAAATGTGTCTCTGACTATATGTAAAAATAGAGATATGTTTTTCAAACTATCAGAACAAACTTCTAACTGTCCCTGTTAAGAATTTGAAATATCTCCCTAATCTGATACAGCTGTACAATATTGTGTCTGTGACTTCATGTTACCATAGAATGACTTTTTTTTAGCTATGATCACTGGCCACCAGCAGGAGCACTTTTTTTTAAACTGTATTACTTATCTGATCCCTGCTTCCCTGGTGGTCAGTGCTCCCCTCTCTCCCATCCACCCTGGCTGTGGAAGTTCCTTGTGTCCTCACATCTAATGCAGGGATATGGCCCTTGCATTAGATGTGAGGATGTCAGCTGGTCTTTAACTGTTGGAGTGGAGGGGGGAAGAGACTACAGTCACTGGTCTTGGAGTCAGGGAGAGCGGGGATATTACGTACCTGATGAGAGAACAATAGCTGAGGAGGCTTCTCTTACTTCTCGCATCCTACACCCCCTGGAAGTGAGAACAGGGTGTGAGAGGAAAGCAAGGAGCATGAGTGCCGCAGGTGGAATCAGGCACAGGTTCAGGAAAGTCCAGGAGTGGATCAGCCTATTCGGGAAGCAAGAACGGAATCAAGGATAGCGGAGGATCAGAGCCAGCCGGGCAGCAAGGTACAAAATAGTGAGGCAATAAACAAGTCCAGGATACGGGCCGAGATCAGGAGCAGGCAGCAATCAAGAGGAGTCCAAACAATCCAAGTCGCAGGCAAAGTCTTCAACAGGATCACGGGCACAGGTAACAAACGCACACAGCTGAAAGACCATCAGCACAGTGAGCAGGGCAGGCTAATGCCTGTCGTGTCACTTCCTGTGCGCCTGCCGTTGGTGACTCTTTGTGCGTATTTCTGATTGTGCGGGCATGCGTACCACAGCATATTTCCATCCAGTTCTATAGGCACGTTTGTGTGCATGCATGGCTGTCATCTTTACCTTATAGGGGATCAGGTAAAACTACTTTAAAGAATTCCCCTAGACAAAAATGAGCAATTAACCAATACAGCGCGGGGATAGCCTACTACAAGGGGAGGTTTTTTTAGGATTTAAAGTGGAATTATAGTCTCTCTTTTTTGGCATATATCTACTGCCAGCAGGCAGTAGATATATGCCCCTTTTATTAAAAAAGTAGGCAAACACCCTATTACTTACCTGATTCAGCACCGCCCACTCCCGCCTTAAGAACGCCTGGCTCCCGAACAGCTGTGAAGGAGGAACTGAGTGGGTGAATGTGCAGTAAATAACACCAAAGGGTAGAGGGGAAAAGGGACAATGAAATTGAATGGACGCAGCAAGGCAGCCAGATGTGTGCACGCCGGACAGACTCCGTGGGACACGAGAAGTCTGCACTGGATCAGAGACAAGCACCAGCGCTGGAGGGACTGTCGTAAGCGAGTGGAAGGAAGAAGATGATTGCATCAAGAAGCATCAAACAAGGTAAGTGCTTGGAGCAGCATTGGGGGGGAAATAATGCCACTTCATGTCCTTCAATAAAATGAGAATAAAATAATATGCACACACTCACTTAGGAAGAATTTAAAAAAAATATTTATTGAAAGTGGCACTAAACTCATGAGTGAATAAATTCAAGTACCAAACCTATTAACAAAAATGTATCTTATTTGTCAATCACTCAGCTGTAGATCCTCAAATCATCTCTGAATGCATGCTGACACTGTCCTTCCTTCCGGATTGTGGCTACTTTTGTTCCCCATGGATCCTGTTTGTGTATTGTAAAGTAGCTCACTCCTGTATTTGACTACAATCTCAATACAAATTAGTAAACTAAATGTGAGATTGTAGCTCATCACAGGAGTGAGCGTAGAGCAGTGGATACCTTACAACACACGCACGGGGACCATGAGGTCGAAAAGTAGCCACCCTCCAGAAGGAAGGACAGTGTCAGCACAAATTCAGAGATTTGTGCTCCTGAGTTTATTGTCACTTTATCTGATAACAGATGATAGGTTACAGAAATAGCAGTCTCAGGTCTCACTCTCAGGTTACCTCTATCTCTCAGAGGGCCAACCCTGCAGACAGCATTTGCAGGCTTCTGAGTTTCAATTATCCTACAGCCCTTTCACTAGACAGGGTATAAGCTAGTTAAATGCTCCAAAAACTGAAAAAGCCACTCAGTGTTTTGTGGCATCCAAATTTGGACTTTAGTAGCATTTCAACTCCAGATGCTCAATATCAAACTGAGATAACTGCTAATTTTGTTTCTCTGTAGTAAGAAAAACAGTTATTCTGTGAATTCTAAAACTAGTAGCAGTTTGAGGCTAATAACTTAATATGAAGCTCATACATGGATCTAGCAATACAACTGGAAGCAGCCTGTACTCTGCTTCCCACCTTACCCCAAGGAAATTGCAAAAGTGCATATTACAATTATTATTTACGACATGCTGGAGTTCTGCAGGCAACCCTTCCTCAGTATTCTTGGTAGATATCACTCTTTTGTTACAAATGACTCAATTTTTTCACTTACATTGCAGGAAATTGACCAAGAAAGACTTTATGTTTCAAACAAACCTATTAATAATTAGTGGTTTTAAATGTCTTAATTATTTTGATGAAATAGTGGTCATGCTGGGAAAGTATTAAATATGTAAAGTATCCCGAGATTTATATTTTTTGCGTTGTTTTTAGTTCTTTTTATTGTTACAATCTGGGGAAGAAAACATAACTTCGTAAACATAGGCTATGTGCAGGTAAAGCAGTCTGTCTGATGGTACCTGCAGTTTGCCTTCTTCTGTAGGTTGCTGCTTGGGTTCAGACTATACCACTGTATAAAAAACTGGGCCCCTCACCTGTATAATACTGACACCCCTGGGACCCTCACCTGTGTCATTTTGCCACCGCTGAGCCCCTCACCTGTGTTATGAGCCTGTCTGCCCCTGTGTTCTCCTGATCCTTGAAAATAATGTCCTTATTTTAGTTTCGGATCAGCTTCTTGAAGCACTCTGAGTTGCAGGTGATCTTGCCCTCGTACCTTCCGCTGGCATCCAGGGTCTTCTTGGGGCACTTTGGGGCTGAACTGCTTGTAGGAGAGCGGGGTAACCTTGCGAGGACTTCACCTCCCACTCTGCCTGGCCTGCAGACTCACACTGCCAGGCTAAGGAGAAGCCAGGTGCCACAAAGCAGCAGCACAATTGAGAGCAGTTGCATGGGGCATCCGGGCTCCCTGGGGCTGGGGATCATGGGAGTTTCCTCTGCCATCAACATGCCATCAGCCATTTGCATACGCGGGTGATTAGTAGACACGTGCACTGTGCACTGCAAAAAAAATATTTTCTGATGAAACAAATGAAAACGAAAAACGTTTCCATTCATATCATCAAAGAAAACAAATTTTTCTGCTGTTTTCGGATTCAGCAGCAACGAGCCCCTGAATCCGAAACCGCACATTGAGAATGCAAAACGAGCAGTGGCCATGTTGGCCGCTGGTCCTTTCTGTGCAGGCGCACCACCATCTTTCAGTGTATCATGGTAAACACCAAGATGGCGGCGCTCGTATGTTCGGGCGCCGCCATCTTGGTGTATACCAATATATACTCAAAGATGGTGGCGCGCCTGCGCAGTACATGCCGTAGGCCAATATGGTCGCAGCTCGTTCAGCAAACTAATTTATTTATGCTCGAATATAGTGTTAGTATTTGCGGGCATATAATAAATGTGTTATTTCGGATTGGGACGAACCGCCGAATCAACTGAATTTTGTTGATTTGCAGCTTCGTCCGAATCTGAATGCACATGTCTAGTGATTAGGGTGTGCCCAACTGTTAAACTGTTGGAGGCTAAGCAGACAAACATTTCTCTTACTGGCCTAAAGATTTTCTCAGACACAGCAGCCCTCTAGCCAGTTTGTCAAATTATGTCTTTATTTACATATTTAAGTTGTATAAATTCACTGAATGGCTGAAAGAAGAACTCCAGGTAAATACAATCTTAACCCTTGAAGTGGGACTACTCCTGCACTGCAAGGGTTAAGTGCTCATTTTCATCTAGCATCTAAAATAACAATCCCAGCTAGCTCCTAGACCAGTCATTTCAGCCTGTCTCCCCTCCAGCAATGGAATGTCCCTTGGTCTCCTCACGTCCTATTCATTGTATAGGATTTGATGACTAACTAGACCTTAGATCACTGTAGTGTAGGGGGAGACAGGCTGAAAGGACCATCTAGCAATCAGTTGTGATCATGGTTCGGATGAGTATAACTTATTTTAGGCACTAGATGAAAAAGAGCATTCAACCCCTGCATTGTAGGGGTAGCCTCGCTGCAAGGGTTAAGATTTTATTTGCCTGGATTTCTGGTACCTTAGATGTCTTTCTCCTCTGCAGTGAAAAAACTTAAATTGATATTAAAGCTTTTTTTTTTTTTTAATTTGTATTACTTGGAGGCCATCTTACATATTGCAATTTTTAAATTTTTTTATTTCTCAATTCCTTGTTTTCTAGTGGGTCCTTGCATCCTCTCCTACCCCGCAACCAGGAAGTTCCGGTCGGAGGATCGCTACGGGGAAAAGCGACATTAACAGGTTTTTTTTGTTGCACGACATTAGCACAACTTAAAAAGTTTAGTGAAAAATGCACTCAAGTTACATTTAGTGCCATAAAACCATCATTTTTTGTAAAATATAAAAGAAAGGAGTTACAACAAGTAAATAAATACCCAACATGCCCAGGTTAAAAAGTGAGTGCTTCTGTGAAGCTGCGAGAGAATTCAGTACCCCGAAAAGTCCATACACAACGCTTTAAAAGCCCCTACAGGTCATTAGTTTAGAGATATGCGTAAATATTGACCCTAGAATTATTGCTCTCACTCTGGTGTGTGCGGCGATGCTCAACATGTGTAGTCCAATCCTCGTTTTCGTACGTAGGCGCACCCGATGCATGTTTACGTGACAATGCGTATGCTCATGGGAACGGGGGTCTTTAAAAGTTTGTTTTATTATTTTTATATTTAATGTATTTAATCCTTTTTTTAATTTTTTTAAACTTTACTTTAATTGCTATCACATAGGAGGGCCTACAAGCTCACCCCCTTGCATATTGGTGGTGGCAGGTACTCTTTAGGATCATACTGGGTGTCCAAAAGTATAACCTTTACACTCTTAATAAGCTATTAAAGTACAGATCACACTTCAATAGCTTATTGCTGGGCTTCAGGAGCTCAGCAATGGCAGCTATGGGACAGGAAATGATGCAATATGCGTTGATCCCGGTTCCATAGAACATGGAGGAGATCAGTGAACGGATGTTCCCTGCTCTCCTCATCAGCTTCCCACCAACAACCAAGACGCCGGTATGAGAGGCAGTGGAGCCCGGGAAACATGGTGGGGATGTCGGGCAGGGGGCGCCACTTTACCAGATCGTAGAAGCGAACCGGCAGCAGCTGAGCCGCCAGAATTGCTTCTACTGTAAAGACGGCCACCGGCTCTACAAATCTGAACAGAGTCCCGGCGAGAGTCTGTTTAACCCCTCCAGGATTCATGGTGGGATTATCCCGTTATGGGTCGTGAAGGGGTTAATACTACTTTAAGACTACCCCTCCTAAACTGGTATATCCTGCATACGACCTCTCTCCCTTTAACATCTGCCCCTACATACAGTGACATTATGTAATAGAACATCAGAGAAAAGCAGGAGCAGCTGAAGGAAGGTTCTTTGATTTTGACAAAATCTTTATCTAAAGAATAAAAGATACAAAGGAGAAAACCAAGCAGAAGAATAAAAAACCAGACTGTCCATGCAAGAATTAAATAGGTGGCAATGCTATATATTTACATAAAGCAGTCTTATCCACAGATTTCAAGTCTAGTTATCTGAAAGTGGCAGCACAATGTATATCATTAATTTTCAAATATTTCTCTCAAAGAATTCTTGTGTTAGTAGGGATAATATACATTTGTGCTTATTAGATAAACCAAAGGCAGGCTAATATAGCTACTATCATTTTAATCTGCATTTCTCACTTCAAAAATGATAAGTAAAAACTCAAGCTCAGTGGTTTATGAACAACATAATAATTACAGATATTCAATCATGCTGGAAACGGAATGTCATTTAAAATGATATGTGTGTTTCCAGCATTATCTAACATATTCCAGTATGACTTGTTTTTGACAGCATGTACAAAGACAAGAAGAAAATGAAGGCTGTGCATCCTTATTTTTAATTTGGGAAAGAATCAGTATGTTTTGTACCTGAAGCTGTGCTTTTATGGGGTTTTGCTGCCATCTTCTGATAAAAACTAATTTGAATCAAGAAATAGCAATGCAAAACCACTACCTCTAAAACAAATGTACAATTTTATTTTTTATTTCATTTGACATCCAGTATTTTTGTTTTACATTTATGTTAGCTACGTCCAAGCAACACTGGTTATATGTATGCAAACACACATACAGTTTTCATCAGATTTCAATCCCTTCACTAATGCCTGAGCTTTATAGCAGTGGCTATTCAAATAATAAAAATACTGCTGATAATAAAAAATGTTTTTTAAATGTGCTCCTTGTTAAATTATTAACCTTCGAGTGATTTGAATTTACCGAGCTCCACAAAAAATGAACCCTTGCAGTGAAGCTAATGGGTTAAGTGCTTGTTTTGGTCTAGGGGCTATGATAAAGAAAATATACTCGCCTGACCCTCGGTCCTGCTTAGCTGCTAGAGCAGTCTCTGCAGCCTCTTCTCCCCTGTGCTCCAGCAGTCTAAGGACCTGTGATGTCATCAAGTCTAATGCAGCTGCATTTACACGTGAGGACGCCGAGAGAAATCCCACTGCCAGAGCAGAGATGGAAAGAGGTGAGGTGACCAAGGAACACGTAAGTATATTTTATTTTCTTTATTTTAGCCCCAGACCAAAATGAGTACTGCAAGGGTTAATTTTACATTTCCTGGAGCTTTTTATTTAGTTCAAATCACTCCAGGATTAATTATTTAACAAGGGGCATGTTTAAAAAAAGTGTTTATCTCCTGGAGTTCTTCATTATTCTCAGAATAGCCCCTTATACGTTTCCATTTAAGAGTTGTGAATTCTTCCCGGAGCTAAACATACTCAAACATGCCATGCTGCTCCAGGTTAAATAATTCTGGTAACAGAACACTCATATGGCTGACAGGGACATATATACAGTGTATATATATATATACATTTATGTACAAAGCATGTATAATACTGATAGAACACTAATTTATTTCTGTAATTGTCATATATCCACGTTACTTAAGCTCAAAATTATGAACCCAGCTGGTCTGTTTTTCCAAGTGTCACTCAAATGTGTCATTTAAGTGTCCACTGCACTGGCAGAACTCTAAACTCTGTTGATTATTATACCACTGTAGTAGGTTTGACACCTTTCAGGACATTGTTCCAAGGATTTACAATTCTTATAATAGGGATTGACAAAAGTCTTCCCACGTACAGTAATGAAGACATAAATACAGTCTTGAAGAGGCGTATTGCTCTTAAAGTTGGGGTTATTAAATGATTTTCAAAGCAGAGGAAATGACAAGACAACATTTCAATGCTAAGACAATGACGACATGATGAAAGTACTGAGTCTGAGAGAACAAAGAAATAATTCAGGTAGGCTTTTTACAGTTTTCTCTTTCAAAAGATATAGTATAAAGATACTAAAGAAGTGTTAAACATAAATTACAAGTTGGTTGATATAAAAGAACTTTGAGTAAAAATGAATGCATCTGTGACTGTTTTTAGAATAGTATAGTAATAATATCATATAATACTTTCAACATGGCACATATTAGGTATTGGATGTGGGTTGACCATGAGCTTGACCCAAACACAGACAGTTCACAGGTCAGCAAAGGGGTATACAAATGGCCTGACTTGGCCAGTTCGGCCACCCGAACCGGTGGCTGAAGTGACCTGAAGTCATTCATTTGGTGGCGGATTCACTATGGCAACTAAATTACAGCTTCCTGAAGGCTTGTTTCAAATTGTAATTAAGCTGGTGGGAATGCTGGGTGATGTCATTGGCCAAATATTGCCATGGCCATATTTAGTCAATGACATCACCCACCATCCCCAGCTAGCTTGTTGAAATTTTGCATCAGGCTTAAGACGATAATTTGCGAGAGTAATCACAGAGTAGCATCATCGCATCAGCAAGCGAGTGTTGCTCATCATAATTGATTATGTTGGACAATATGTTTCATGTTGGATTTACATCAGAGATATACTGGTACTGAGAGGTACTGTTAGAAGGCGGGGGAGGGGGAAGAGTGCTAGAGAGGTCAGCCCTGATCTGATTCACCCCAATAAATTTGCCAAGTTGCAGGATGTTGGGGACATCAGTTCAGGGGGGACACTGCTGGAGCACGACTCATCCTATATCCGCAGGGGGAGTGAGTGCTCCGGCAACGACGGGAGCAGGATATAGGGTCAGGAGAGGCAGATCCTGGTGGTGGGAGACTCCATCATCAGGCGGACTGACAGGGTAATCTTTTTTATTTTTTATAATATGAATTACTTTTTCTACAGTGTTTTATATATTTACTCACTATATAATTATTTTTGTGAATAACAAGGATTACCAGTACCCCTTACTTATTATTGTTGGGGGGCCAGATAGGTAGGGGCCCCTTTATCTAAAGGAGGCTTTAAAATTCTAATAAATGTCTCCCCTTAGAGGGATGTTACAAACCAAAGCAAGCTGTAATAAGGTTTGTCATTTAACAGTGGTATTTTTTTATGCAGATTGAGGGAATTCCTCAAGTATGTTATTTAAAGTATTTGTGTATTTTTAGAGTTGCCCTCTGCCTCTGTAGAGACAGAGCTAACTGTTCCCACCCTCTCTTCTGTCTGTGCCTCTATGAGTACTGGAGAAACAGAGAGGGGGAAATCCCTGCGAGGAGCGGTGACAGACAGTCATTATTTGCGGGGAGAAGACTGTGGGCTGAGCGATCATTGCAAACTATAGAGGTGGTGTATGACACTGTCAGCTCTAAGTTTTGGGAAGAGTATATTTGACTTTCCCAGTACTTCTCCTTTAGGGTTTAAGGTAAAGAGAGCTTTTAAAATGTCACTGACGTTGCAATACATATATAAACAAGTCTCAAAATATTCCATAGACAACTTTAACAAGGTCAAAAAAAGACCATCAAGAGAAGTTATTTTTTCTAAGAGAAAGATTCTTCATGTGTGTATATGATTCACATGTGGATAATTAAATATGAAAATAAACTGAAGTGGCACATAGTCTTAAGAACCTTGCAGCTGCTCATCCCTCTTGAAGGGCTCTTGAAGTACAAAACTGGTTTGTTTTCCAGCTGTGGTAATTTTTCCTCCTTTGTACTTGTTGTGGATGGCTTTTAACTTGAACAATAACATTTAAACAGTTTAAAATGTCTAGCCCAGTACATTTATTGCAGTAGAAAAAAATTGCTTTGCATTCATGGGAGCACGCATATTTTATCTTGAAAGGCACATTTGTCAGAACAGCAAGTAAAAAT